ATCATCATCATCATCATGCATCATCATCAGCATCAGCATCAGCATATTCACCATCATCATCATCAGCATCAGCATCAGCATCAGCATCAGCATCATCATCACCATCATCACCATCATCATCACCATCACCATCACCATCACCATCACCATCACCATCATCATCATCATCATCATCATCATCATCATCATCATCATCATCATCATCATCATCATCATCATCATCATCATCATCATCATCATCATCCATCTCCCTCCCGACCCTTCCCCCAGCGAGGGAGCCCCGGAGGCGGCAAATGGCGAAGCAGGAGGAGGCGGCGCAGCCGAGGCTGCGGGCGACGTGGGCGCCAGCTCCGGGGCAGGAGCTTCGACGGCGGCGGCCGCGGCTGAGGATCCCACAGCACCAGCGCAACCGCGACCGCGATGGTGGCGCACCAGCAAGGCGCGGGACCACAGACTGTCGACAATCGGCCACAGCATCGACGCGCTGGTCTACTGCGCGGTCTGCGGGCGGTACGCCGACGGCCCCCGCGTGGCGGGCCTCCGCGCGGAGAACAGCGGGGTCACGGCGGACCGCCAGGCCGCGGCGCTGCGCCGCCTGTGCCAGGGGATGCACCCAATGCGCGGCGGAGCGGGAAGAGGAGGCCCATCGAGTCCAGGTCCAGAGCCGCCCCACCTCGACGATGGCATGCGGCCACGGAGTAGGTCGCTGAGGCGCGGGCGCTTGAGGTGGCCAGCAACCACGGCACCCTGCCGCGGGTTGCTGCTGGCACGCTGCCCCCAGCGCGAGCCAAGAGCGCCCTGCGTGCCTTCCCGCGTTCCCCTCTCTCCACGGCGCGGCCCTCGGACGTGGTGGTCCCCGCGTCGCCTCCGTGTTGGCCGCGTGCGGCCTGGGGCCGCGGCCCTGCCGTGTGGGCGGCCCACCCTTGGGCGCCGCCCTTCCTCGTCGGCTGGATTCGGCTTCGAACTCTTGGCTTCATTAATATTATTATTACGCAATGAGCGGGTCCCAGGTGCTAGCTTGGCCGCGATACGTCACCGTCTCCACAGCTAAGGCCAGGACATCCCAGACTTAGGGGTGAGGCCTCGGCTGAGACGGGACAGAACCATACGACCTGCAGCGGTAAGCGGTAAACAAGGCTTCTTCGAGTTGCGGGGGTGGTGTACGCAAAAGGACCCGCAACTAGCACAAAACAAGATGCCTCTGAACACTTCCAACGAATGGGACGGGTGGCAAACAGCAGCCCACTGGTGTCCCCAAACGCCCCCACAAGCAAGGGGGATCGACACGGTCAGGGAAATCATAAACCAGCAACATAATAAACAAAAAATCCAGAGTCACCCCGAGGCTTGCACGCGCACGGCCAAACATCAAACAAAGGTCTTTTACGTGTAAAAGAGCGGGTGCACCTGCAGCACCACAACACACTCTTCTTGGCCACGGGGTCATGACCAGCAGCACGGAGCCTCGATGACCGAATGTTCATTGAAAGGTCCGCACATCTCTTTTTCCTCACGGACACATCCACCCGAACGGGTCTAGCCCGATCAGGGGAGAAAAAGACCTCACGCTGGCTTGCATGCGGCCGACCGATCACCTGTGCACGCAAGTCATATGCAGCCGCAGTCCTCTGAGCGAGATCATGGGGCACGGCACCAGTTTCGGCACCTTTGCCTGCAAAGAATTCGGTGATTCGATTAGAATACAACTCGCTGGGTCACAATCCAAGGTTCAAGGCCTGACTCTTGGTGGGGTGGGCCTTGGTCCAAAGGATATTGACAGTGCCAGGTCTCTGGGATGTCGCCTCAAACACACGAGCCCAGAGGTCCTAAATAGGAAAAATTAGAATGAGCTGTCAGAGGCTCGCGGAACCCCTAGGTAACAATCATACAATCAGAATACACAATCATATCACCAGTGCTACACACGACATACCAGTAGACGTAATAATGCAAATGACTCAGCACGGGGGGGAACTCTGCTTCAAGGCCGGGAGTGGCCCGGAAGCGAGGAAGTCGAAACCACCTTCAATACCACGGCGGACGATACTCCACCCACACCTCATGGCAGTCGTCCGGGATGACGTTTCCCGTAAAATTAACTATGGGAAACGCAATCCCGGACGACTGCCCCAAGCACACATTGCACGGGAAACGCGATTTTCCCGTAATTCGACTTTCGAATTCTGGGAAACGCAATTTTCCTCAAAAGCCAACACTCAATGAGCAACAATTGTAAGTATGGGAAACGCAATTGTGGCTCATTGAATGCGCTTTTTGAAAAATGCGTTTCCCATAATTCAGAATTCGAACTCTCGCAGTGCCGAACTATGGGAAACACAATTTTCCTCAACAAACAGAACTCAATGAGCCACAATTGCTTTTCACAGAATATTGAATGATGGATTCTCTGAATTCCGAATTATGGGAAACGCAATTTTCTTCAAAAAACCACACCCAATGAGCCACGTTTCCCACAATTCCGAATGATGGGAAACGCAAT